AAAAAAAAAAAAAAAAAAAAAAAAAAGAACCTCAGTTTTCTCACCTATAAGTTGGGCTAAATTGACAGGGTTGTGAAGTTTAGAGACCCTGAAGTGCTAAGTAGAGGGACTGGCCCAAGTGCATACTCAGTAAATAACAATGACTTGTTTACTTACAATGACTTTCCTGATAGGCCAGCAGGAAGCATACTCATATCCTAGAGTGCCCCAGATTCTTCAGGTCCCTGGCATTCCTCTACCTTGAAGGGACTTCACCAGTGGTGTCCTAGTCGTACGTGCACAGTCCTTCAGTAAAGTTACAAACACAGTTGGTGTTTTGATTGGATTGAAGTCAGCACACCTTCCTGTAGGCTTTCCTGTCTCTTTGCTGGGAGCCACAGGCAGCTTGGCTCTGCTTACCATCCTGGAGGTTCCCCATTTCCATTCATCAGCCTCCCATGCTCCCCTGAATCACACTGTGGAGGAGGGAACCAGGTCACCATCCCGTCCCTTTGAACCCAGTGAAGGGCAGTTGTAGAGCCTGCTCCATGGGTCCCTGCAAGTCCCTTGTGGTGACCCATAGATGTGGAGCACTCAGAGGGAAGAAAGCTTCTCTTGGACTGCTGTGCTTTGATAGTATTAGTGTGACTCTCTTTGTTAATGCTTTGAGAGATGAGTCTTTCTTTTGAAGAGTAGTGTTAGCCCACTGCAGTGCTGAGAAAGTTGAGTAGAGCCAACTGGCTAAAAGGAATAGTGATGACTGAGAATCCCTAGCCCTTCTGTATTTCTCCAGTCTAAGTTATATTTTGCTCATTGTATTTGGGAAGTTGCTATTTTGCAATAGGTCAAAATCAAACTCACTATTCCAGTCAGGCTTTCAGGTAGGCAGACTCTACATTTTTCCATGTCAGAATACTCAAAAATAATTCCCTTATGCTATCACACTGCAGCCAAGTTAAGTCTTCTATATTAGAGACTCTTAAATGTTTGCAGACAGAGATTTCACAAAGAGCTCCATTAACTTCATCTGCATGGAAAATTGTATATTAATACCTTCAACAGAAACAGTTCTTAAGTGTATCTTTTAGATCCAATGAGACAGAGCCAGAAGTGCTTTCCTGGTTACCTTTCCACCTATTTCATTAACTCCATTGATGGAAAGGATTTTCAAACTCTGACCTTAGCCACAGAATTGGTTTAAGTTCTAAGAATTACTAATTTTGTATTTCATTGTAGTCCGTGAGGAAATAGAAGGTACTTTCTCATCAAAACAGCTTCTTTTCCCCTCCCAAGTTTACCCTGATCCTGGCGTTCTTGCCCTGAGTTCTTGCCCCTGCTTCCTCCCTGCTCTGCTCTAGAGATCAGAAGCAGGCCCAGTGGTTCCTTTCATCTCCTCCTCACCCCTGTCCCAGCCCCAGCCCCAGCTCAGCTACCTCAGAGGCTGGTCAGGCCCTGCCTTCTCCCTCCTGGACCCCGCGTTCCCCGGAGAATCTGAGCAAGTTGAGGTCTCTGCACAGGGTGAGGCTTCTGTTGCTCAGCCCAAGAATTTTTGGTTCATCAACATTAAATAATTAGAGATCACGAGGCCTTACCTGTGCCTTCACCCTCTAAACATATCATAGCTCTTCTATGTCATGGCACTTGACTGTGTTTATTCAGCATAATGAGGGCAGCATTCAGGCTATAGCTGACCTGTTAAATATTTACCCATGAGGCGGATATGCGTGCATGAATCAGCAGTACTTATCAGAGTGTGGACTGCATGGTAGGTAGGTTGTACACCCTCACAAGCCCAGAAACTACTGTTAGGCAAAAGGTGAAATTAGCATCCTTCAGAAACAAACTCAGTTAAGATAGTCTTTCATAACACTGAGGCTCGCGGTGCGCGGCTAGAACAGTCAGAGAAGACCGCGCATGTGCAGCGGTCGGCTCCTCGCATCCATGGTGCTGTGACTCTGACAGAGGGCTGGGGCCGCTGCAGAGGAAGGAAAAACGTGAAGATCAGTGCCTGCCTGCCTGCCACGCAGAGGGGTGTAAGGGGATGTGAGCAGCATCTGCTTCAGCCTGGCCTGAAGTGCCTGTAGGAGCCCTTTATCCTCCTTTGGATCCTGACCCAGCAGACTGGAAACCAGACCCACTGTTTCTTCCCAACTCCCTCCTTGGGCTGGGGGTGTGGCTCAGTGGTGGAGAACTTGGCTAGCATGCTTGAGGCCCTGGGTTCCATCCCAAGTCCTCCTCCCTTTAGGGAGGCAGCCTATTTAAGGAAGGAAAAAAAAAAAAAAAGCAAACCTTGGTTCTACTGCCGACTAGTTATGCAAACCTGGGGCAATTTACTCTTCTCTCCAAACCTTGATTTATTCGTTTGTAAAATTACAATACTCGCCAGGTCCGGGGGATTTAGCGCAGTGACATTGTGCCTGCCTAGCAAGCACAGGGTCCCAAGTTCGATCCCCGGTACCAAAAAAAAAATTTTTTTTATAATCACTCCCACCTCAGTGATATGTGAGGTCAATTAAATTAGGTAATGTGATAAAGCAGTTAGTAAAACATGTTAGTTCTTAATAATCACAGAAGCAGGGTGTAGAAACATGGCTTGGCAGCAAACATTGTCATCAGGCTTTGGATCTCTTCACACCTCTGCTTCTTTCCTTCATTGTAGTAATTTTTCTTTCATGACTACATTTCCAAATGACACAGTTCAAACAAAGAGGTAAAGAAATGGGTGGGGGTTAAAGTTCAGAGGGTTGCCCATAGACTGTTTTTCTTCTTTGTCTGTAGTCTAATAAATGATTAAAAACTTATCCTCTGCCTTATATATGTCAGAGCCCGTTACCACCAAGTCCTGAGAACTATCCACTGGGGGGTTATAATGCCAAGGATTGTTTCTCTAACATAAAGGTACGAACAGCCTGGAGCCTGGTTTTGTTCATGTTATACAGATATTTATCCTGCCACTGTAAGATACATAATGGGTCTAATCTTCTTGCCTGCATCTTCGTGAGCAGTTGTCCATTCTGATGGACTCGTACAAACCTTCTGATGAGATGTTTGTCTTCTGTGTACTTCGTGCATACAGAGGACAGAAAGCCATGCGAATTTTCCTCCCCTTCTCAGAGTTTAGTTACATCGAATCCAGTGCCTCCTGTCATACTGGCAAAAGGAAACAGTGGTCTTGCTGCTTCTGTGCAGTTGCCAGTGCAGGTGATTCATTACTGTCATACTGAGTCAGATGTGCTCTTATTAACGTTCTCAGCTGTCAGAGTTGTATCAGCCGAGGTGTCGTTGGAGGAAAAAAAAAAAGTTAATTTCAAACGTTTCCTTTCCACATAACACTTCCTCATGTCGCCTAGCTTTTGTTTGTTGGGAATTTTCAATCCCATAAACAAGCAGAATATTCTTCTTTGCCAGAAAAGTAATTTCAGAAATGTATGCTCAGTACAGGATGAGTCTCAAGTCCTTTGGTACTTTGATGTGTTCCCTGTGTCACCAGCCCTACGCCGAGCCAGCCTGGCCTCCCCTCTTCAGGAGCTCGCTTCTAGGCAGTTAACGTGCTCTTCTTCCCTCTACAACCTTGCAACTGTGGGGACTCGGATAGTGGGTGATGCAGAATGAAGGAATGTTAGAGATTTTTTTAAATATCTCATATTACAGGGAGGTTTTAAGGGATTCATAGAAGTGTGTACGTTAAATATGGGAAAACTAGGGCAAAAGGAAAATTAAGATTGATAAGTGAAATGCATGCTGTAAAGTTTTGACCATTTTTTCTAATAGTTATATGCTGGTTAACTGACACTGGAAAAGTTTTACTTCTGAAAGCTGTGGAAACTATTTCTGAATTGACCTTGTATCTTAAGTGTTTGGATCAACAGTTATGGACTGTGCTTTGTTGTTTAGACTGTACATTCCTGTATACCTTTTAATACAGGATAACAGAGGTGAGGAACTATAGAACTGGTCTCTTAAGGATACTGCTACAAGGCTGCAACATCCCTTTTGGTTCAGTTCGTGTGTTTAATGAGTACCTTACTGTGTCCGGCATTGAATCAGGCCTCAGAATGAAGACTGCAAAAGAGTGTTTCAATAATACACACAGCTCCTTTATGTCTGTAAGCCATCTATCTGTGCCAGTCAGAGTTGGCTAATTTGTACTTTTGGATGATAAGAGCCTTAGTTGTTTTTAATGATGAGTACCATGTACGTGCTACTGTAACAGAATGGGTTAAAATAGAGAAAATGGGGTTGGGGATTTAGCTCAGTGGTTCCATCGCCTGCCTCGAAAGCACAAGGTCCAAAATTTGATCCTCAATACAAAACAAACAGCAACAACAACAAAAATATAGAGAGAGAGATGCATTGTTTCTCTGGTGTGAGAAACCCAAGGGATAAATAAGGAACATACTAGAAGATAGATATTGGGAAGTAGGAAGAAAATAGGAAGGGGAACAAGTGATCAACAAGGGGGAAAGAAGGAGAAAAATGGAAACAAAGCCTTTATAAATGGAGAGAAGAAAAGGGGTTGAAGGGAGGGGAGGGGAAAAAAGAATTAAGATAGGGCCTGGGATTTAGCTCAGTGGTTCCACCCCCTGCCTTGCAAGTGCAAGGTCCTGAGTTTGATCCCCAGTACCCCTCCCAAAAAGAATTAAGATATATTATGTAGAGGCACAAATTCCCAACAGTGAATGTGATAATTATGCATGTGATAAATATGTATGACAAATATGTATTAATTTTTAAAAATAAAATAAACTTTAGAAATAGAATCACAAACCCCATATTCCCATCATAGTCAGTCCAAGGCAGAGGCGGGCAGACCGAGGGGGGAGTCTGGGTCTGTGGGAGGCGTCACTCCCTAAGGTACTGGACCCCGAGAGAAGTGCTCACTGTGCTCTTGTCCTTCCAGTGCGCTGGGTGGCTCTTCAGCTCTTCACATCCCAGCTTTTCCAGGAGGCGGTTGTCTCATCGATTATGTTCCTCAAGTGTGCCACCTGCTTACCAACAAGGTAAAAGCCAATCCCTCGGCCCTCCTGTTGTGTGAGCTCCCAGCACGCCGCAGAGCTGGCGTCCTCTTGCCTGCACCAGCCCTTCTGGGCCTCCACCTGATGTGTGCCTCTGCTACTTTGAATTGCAATTCATCTATTTCTCGCCCTGTTTCTTTATTCTTTTCTCCTTTCCTAAGGATTGCTCACAGCAGTCCTCCTGCCTCAGCCTCCCAAATGCTGGTTATAGGCATTTGCCCCTGTTCCCAGCCTATGGCTCTAAATTTTTGAACCCTTTTATTTCCCAACTATCTGGTGTGTGCACGCATCTATGCCTATGTTTGCCGCTAGTTGATATCAGGGTAGTTCTTTAAAACTACCTTCATTTCTTTCTACTTTTCTGTACGTCACCTTTACATAGCCAGTTCTTGATTCTTTGCATCACTTCTGGGAGCAGTTTGCTGGAGTCCTGCCCCTGGGGCAAGAATTCCAGGTCAGCTCGTTGGCACATCAGATTATCTAAAGTTTCTTTTAGCTGTGTTAATGAGTCATTACACTGACAAGTAGCTGAATGTACTGTAGTGGTAGTTGTCAGATATTTCCAAAAAGTATAAAATATACTTGTTAACATCCAGTGAGTGTCTTTAGCCGAAAACTAGAGATATTAATGCACAAGCAACCATTCTCTCCCACATGGACTATGACTCAGTTTATTTAATTGCCAAAGTACTATTTTTCCTTGCTCTTGTTGACTTGTTCATATTGGCTTGGAAAAGAGATCTTTTGTTTGTCTGTCATATTCAAAAGATAGCTCATCTCTATACAGAAAATACCTTAAGGGGGGGCTGGGGATTTAGCTCAGTGGTTGGTGTCTCCTCCTGCCTCATAAAGCGCAAGGTCCAGAGTTCGATCCCTGGTACCAAAAACAAACAAACAAAAAAAAAAATTAAAGGAACAATAATATAGGCTTTTGTATCATTTTCAGATGTCAGAGAAACTAAAACCTGGCAACTCTGCAGTCTGTGGGCCTTGCCTAGATTCCAGGACATTTAACTCTCACAAAGTGGCAGCTTCTCAAGGAACCAGATTCCCCCAGCCACCGCTGCCCTCCTCCAAGACCCGTCGGAGGGCAGAATTCTTATTTACATTCCGGGGCTCTACACTGCCCTCCAATCTGTGTCCCAGAATTATAGAGAGAAATGCAGATTGGGTCTTCCAGAACTGAGAAGAAAAGCCTTTTTCAAGCTCTCCAATTGAGATTAATTTCTAGTCATACATTTTCCTCCAAAAATTATAATATCATTTTCCCAGAAATACTAGAATCAGTGAGTTTTTCTTATCTGGTTCTCTTTCATTAATTTTACTTGTCTTTTCAAATGGGTGTTCTTCTGTTTGCTCCAAACGAGGACAGTATGGGCTGCTTTTAGGAACAATCTTTTCAAATGAATTTCCATAATTACATTGGAATCTATCTTTATAGCCAGTTTTGTTGTGGGTTTCTGTTAAAATGGTTTTCTGTTTTTAAAACCAAGTACACAGAACTGTTTTCATCCCCTTTTTAAACAAAGCCACTTAAGCAAACTTATCATCTGTTTTTCTTTTCCGAAAATAACATTTCTGATCGTGCTTTGAGCCTGCAAAGTAAGCACTGCTTTTATAAATTGACATAAACCCTACTGCATAAATGGAATTGTTTTACTTTTAAAGCGTGCAGCATGGCTGTCAGTATCAGTTGTGTCAAGGTTATTCCAAGTACTTTATCTTGAGCTTTTGGTAGCCGTGGAAATGCAGTGTGCTACAGCCAATGTAAACAGTTTTGGGGACTCTCTTTCCTGCTGTTTCTTTCAGCTGTTAGGAGGACATGATGAAGAATGTTGTTTTCATGTTAGAAGCTGGTGTGTAAATGGCTAACTTTCAGATACCTGGCTTAATGAAGTCACAGTTTTTTAAAAAATGGAGACTGTTATTCAGTGATAACAAGGCAATATAAAAGGCAAAATAAAATAAAATCTTCTATTGTGATATAGTACTTCTTATTCTGAATGTTAGGAGCTTAAAAAGAACAATTTAAGCATTATCTTGTCAATTCAAGAAAACAAAAGGAAAAACCACATGATTAGAAAAAGTTTTTTGTAATAGAAAATATCAGCTGATAAGAGCAAAAAGAACGATGGAATTCAAAAAAAATCATCATTTTTCAGCCCCTAATAAACAGTTGATTCAAAAAAAGAATCTCCCAACTGATATCAAACTATTAGGTGAATGCCTGGTGCTTTGAGAAATATCCCGCGGGCTACTCATTAGGGGATGCGGGGAGGGAGGGAGTACAGATAAGATACAGATTCAGTGTGGCAAAGGGGAGCATCTCCCAGTGGAGTTGTCTGGCTGTCATTACCACAGCCAAGTGAGCAAGCCCGGTATCACGTGTGAGGTTCTCATACCCAAAATATTTTGCCCAAATCCAATCAGACCTTTGGCTCAAATTGCCACTTCATAGGCAGTACAAAAGGTAGAGGAAGAAAGATGGAAGCAATCAGATGGTCGAGACTAGAAAACTAAAACCAGTCACGTTGCAGAGTCAATGTCCTCCACGCATGTGTGGGAACACATATATTTGCACTCACACTCAAGGGTGTGCTGTCATTTATGATTACTCTAGGTTCAAAAAATGTACAGGATACAAAAAACAAATAAAATCCATGATCCTGGATTCTACCTTGCTTTTTAACATGTTTTGCAGATAGCTGGAAAACTCTGAAAATGGACAGAGTACTACATGACCTGGCAGATGACCTGTTACGTTTGTTGGGTGTGGTCATGGCCCTTCAATCCGTAGGAGGATGTCTTATTTTTTGGAATTTAAATACTGAAGCATTTAAGGGTGAACTGCCAGGAGGTCCCTCATTTCCTTTGAAATGTTTCAGCAAGATTGATTGATAGGTTGATAGATGTATAGAGGCTGGATGAAGCAGGGAGGCAAAGTAGTCAAGGTGTTGAAAATAGGTAGCAAGAGTACGGGTGTTCATTCTCCTGTTCTTTCTAGTTCTCTGAATCTTTGAAAATTGTCACGCTGAAACATTACAGTCTTTTTCTACACTACCTCTCAGCTTTGGATTCCCATTCCAGGTGCAGTATGTGATTCAAGGATATCATAAAAGAAGAGAGTATATTGCTGCTTTCCTCAGTCACTTTGGCACGTAAGTTCTACTGGGTGGAACCCGTGGGCCTGTGATCCTCTTGCTTGCTGACGACCCTGATGTCAGGTCTTGATTGAGAAAGTAGTAATCATTCTTCTGTACACCTGTTCAGTGCTGTTTCCGTTGTTTCGGGTACAGTGCTCCCAAGATGACATTCTTCAAGCATTCTTTGGTAAACAGTAGAATCAGGTACCCTCTCAGCAGCAGCAGCTGCTTTTGCAGTGTGCACACCACTCTCCTCTGTCATCTCACAGCAGTCAAGAGGAGAACCAGGCAGGGATTCTGGACACATTTTATTGCAGACCGTCTTGAGACTGTGGAAATCACATACATGGAAGAGGAGGAACTGACAGGACAGCACTACCAACAGGGCACACACATTTGGGAAAAAATTTAACATCAGACGTAAAAGCAGTGAGTCATTCTTGAGTTAGAAGAGGATACGGAGAGCAAAAAGGGAACCGTGTAACTGCAGCTGCAGAGTGGCCCCTCCTGCTGCCCTCCTGTGCATCTGTCCTTTCCTCTGGCTGTCAGAGGCCATGCTGCTCGGTGGCTGTGTCCTTTGATGCCGCCCGGGCCCTTATCAAGCTTCTGCTGGGGCTTGGTTATGTAGGAGAGGCTGTGACTCCTCAGCCCGTACGAAGTTGGCATTCAGCCTGTGTGCACCTTTCCGTAGCACTGAGTGCTAAGGTTCCCGTGGTCTGGGTAGAGCCCACCTTATTTCAGAGAAGGCTGATAAATAATAGAAGCATACGTGTAGGAGCACAAAAGTACATTTTAAAATAAATAAAAGAAATTGGAAAATTGGGTTTAGGAAAGAGCAAATTAAGCCAAGGATAAGACTGTCCATTCCCTGGGGATATTATTTTTAAACTGTGGGACAGTTACAAGCAAAATTTCTGATTCTTCAAAATGATGTGAAGCAATTTTCTCGTATTTATATGTATTATCCAAAATAGAAATAGCAGTATCCAAACAATATGACTGTCTCATGTGAGTCTTTAATACTGAAGTTTTTTCAGCCTGTTTATGAACATTTTGAGGAAGTAGTTTTGATACAGTGGCTAATAAATGGTACATTAATCTTCTAATGTTTGCATAAGATTATCTTTAGTGCATATAATTAAAAATAAAGAAGTTAATAAAGTAACCTCCAGAGTGGGGTACACACACCCTGGGAGTTACAGAGCTCCAGTGGGGTACAAAAAAAACCATGAAAGCTGCACGTATATTTGTTTTTAAATAACATTCTTTTTAATGTATGTGTTTGTGTATGTTATGCACACAGTACAGTAACCTACTTGTATGCCATCACTAATTATACGGTATGGCTGTACTGTATACATAATAAAAGGCTATGGGATGCAGATATTATCATTTAGATATCAATGTTATATAACATTGAGTACATTATAAATTCATAGAGGGAAACAAATGAGTAAACAGCATTGTTGACTGATGGCAGAAGTTTTTTGTTGTTCTTTTGTTTTTGTTTGTTTTCCACTACGGGGGATTGAACCCAGAGCCTTGTCACAGAGCTACATTGCCAACCCTTCTATATTTTGAGACAAGGTCTCATTAAGTTGCTCGGACTGGGCTCAAACTTTCTATCCTCCTGAAGGCAGAAGATCTGAATGATGTATTAACAGTCTTTGAGCAGCTCACTTAGCCATCAGCATCCTAGGTCCTTAACCTCTCCAAGGATTGCAGCTGTCCCTTCTTCATCAGTGTAAGTGATCTGATTGGCCTGACTGGGGAAAAGGCCACTTCAAAGGCATCAAAGGCCTCCTTGGAAGAGAGGGTGTTTCTTGTCCTCAGTATCTACTTACTTTTGTCACATTACGGTGGCAGCATCCTCCAGGCACCCTGCTCTTAGGGAAAGGAATGGGGCAGGCCTACCAGAATCCTGCCCGAGGTGTGTCCCAGCCACCTGAACTCATCACCTACCCCTCTGACACTGCCACTCTGCTTTGGCCCCAGTGGGGAGGGGGCGGGACACACAGGTCCCACACAGAAAGGAGTCCACAGATTTTGGAAGAAAAGTAATATATGACCCAACATTTAGTGATACTGTTACTGCTTATGAAAGTGAGGCCTAATGATCATTATACAGTTAGTGTGCTATTTGGTATTATAATGTCATTGCTAACTTGATTTTTTAATTTGTCCTTTTATTCATAACTAGAAATTAAGGTTTACATTATATAGTCTCTCATACTTTGTTGTTCACGACCCTGTAATGAAGTCTGCAAACATTATACTTGTTTCACACGTGAGGAAACTGAGACTCTAAAACTGAAGCACTTGCCTGAGGTCACAACAGATAATAAATGACAAAGCTGTGACTTAAACCTAGATGTTCTCATTCCCCGTCCCACACCCTTCATGTATCTAGACTCATTCACCTTAAATCCACGAGATTCAGTAACCCTAACCTCACAAATATACGCTTTACTTGGTTCCATCTTTTTCATACCTTATTTTTATGAGGCTTTTCTGTTTGTGTGTTTTTATTACTTAGAGGTGTCGTGGAATATGATGCAGAAGGTTTTACAAAACTCACCCTGCTGCTGATGTGGAAAGATTTTTGTTTCCTTGTGCACAGTGAGTATGCTTTTGCTATCAGCATTTCAGAATACTTTTTTTTTTTTTTTTTTT